TGTACATTACCACGCAATGCAGTTATTGCCTCTCAATGCATCTATGCGACGAGCCTGCATCAATTTATACCACTGCCACATTGAAAACCTGTATTTTTCCAGATGATCATGCGCATTCTTGGCACGAATCCTCACATTCCTCTGATTTCGAAGCATCATTTCCGTTGTGTTTTCTAGTGCTGTTACGGCTAGAACTGATTGAGTGTTATTTATAACTGAATGCATGAAAAGATGACGAAGCACTAGGAATTGCATTAAAGATGTTGATGAACAGACTGAGCATAGAGGACGGAATGTCTCTTGTCCTTTTGCATCGGCTGTAAACCGTTGCCGTGGACTCCAGCGTACAATCCCCTTTCAGGGATCGCCACCCCTCGACCCTGCCTGCCTTCGTCAGTGCGAGAGAGGACCGTGTATCTGCCGCCCAAAGGGTTTTTCCCCGCAGAATCAGATGAAGCTGATTGATGAACTGGTTGAGTTATTGATTGGTGGATTGACTGATTGATTGTTTGATTAATTGATCGGCAGGTGTCACTCGCATTCCTGGCACATTCTTCGACTCCGCACGGGGAACTTGGATTCCCGTGGCCGGACAGGGGCCAGCGCCTTCTCCACCCGCGGCTGAGGCTACACACACTTCATTCGAGGCGCCACATATTGAAGATCTACTCCTCACCGGTGGGCTGGCGACGATTACCTTCGAATTTTCGTTCTTGTTTCTGTTGCCGTGTTTGCCAAAGATTCTTCGCCTCGACGAAACTAGTAAATGATTGTCTACACTTCTGGCACGCCAAAGCCATCTGCTATGCTCCATTGCCTCGCCAGAGGGTATCTTGTGTGATTGAACATTGCAGGTGCATGAGCTACATATCTGTACGACACTAGGAGCAAAAGGGCCCAATAACACGCGTTCAAAAATGCACAAAGTTTACGGGTTGGGATTATTTTCGTGTTTTAGGATGCAGAACAGTGACGAAATGCATATATATGTGCTCGAAAATAGTGTTGAGTGGTCATTTCCTGCTAGTGTAAGGAACGCACGGCCTCTCAAATCTATGCCCTGCCGGGCATACCAACTTTTCTGTTGCGCTTAGAGAGCTCCGCTCTGTTTTGCGTGGCATGCACAAGAATTTCGCCAAATCTCTTGCACAGAGACAGGCGGGTGGGAACGGTTGGGGTTGAGAGTGGAGGTGAATGAAATGTTCGGCTCTGTTGAAACATATTGGCGTTATTCCTCTTAGGCACGTCGTATGCAGAGGCGGTGCCGGCGGCCCCAAGATCCGAGATCAACGCCAACGGCTGGCCCACCAAAAAGGAGCGGCTGGAGAGTGACAAGCCCCAGAATGCACAACACCAGAGAGAACCGCCGGGGCGTGGACAATCGCTTCCCCGTCGACTGAGGAATCTCAGATCAACTATCGGGAGGAGAATCAAGGCCATGGCTTTCCAGAAGAAGACCGCATCAACTGGAGCAGGTTAGAGGATCGCGGTGCTTTGTGGCCTTGAGTTGCGGCCTGCGGATTTGGCATTAGGCAGCATCATAGTGCACAGGGCGGTGCGCCGCCCGGGGATGCGGCGCAGGCAATGAATATCATTGAAATGAAGTGTGCCCCGTGCACTGAAGTTCATTGAAATGCTGCTCAACAGCAGCCCGTTGTATGTTCAACATTTTGTCCATGAATTTGCTTTGCTTGAGGGTGACGGATCAAATAGGCTGGCTGCGTGGCGGATCAGCGACCGCTCGATGATCATCCACTCAGTGATGTGGGGCGGCTTGGGCGTGGGTGTGGGTGAGGGGGATAGACGGGTGGAGAAGGTGTTCCGGCTGCTGTTGGTGCTGGGGGTGCTGGGGGTGCTGGGGGTGCTGGGGCCTTTTGGGTCGGTGGTGGAGGTGGCAGCACTGGGATACTTTTGTCGCATAGAATTCAGCTCCTCGAATGCAAATGGATATCTGAAATTAGCGCAGAGTTGAACTTGATTTGAAAGATGGGGAACTTGCCCAGGGTGAAACACGAAGCGATTTTTTCAATGTCGTCGTTCGATGTTTTTTTCGTTTACGTTGCAAAGACCAGGGACTGGTAGTGCGTGGCGTACAGGCTCAAGCCTGTTGGAAGGCTGTAACAACTTTGTTAGATGGCAGCCCAGGAAGCGCAGATGCAGGAAGCCATAGAGGCGGTTGTTTGGGTGTGAGCGGGGAAGGGAGGGAGCTTCTTGCATTAGCTACACCAGCAATGATATGACATGAACAAGATCGGAGCTTCGGCCGGGAAAGGAGGCTGGCTTCCGCCAACAGAATTCGCGGCGGATTAAGCACATGGGACTGTTGCGAGACACCTGATTTCGCTTTTCATTACACATAATCACCTCAATTGCGTATTTGATAGGGTGGTATCTTTGCCAACATCCTGATGTTGCTGAGAATAAACAGATGGATTCTAAATCCACGTAAGGAAGTGAAGACGGTAGTCTTGAAACACTTGGTGTATTAAACGCTGCACGATGGGATGCAGTGGTAAGACACGTCCTAGTTTTCGCATAGGCTTGGGAGCGCTTTGGTACTTCCGAATTGACCGGATCCACAGGGAGTAGGCGCTTTCCATTTGCTTCGAAGTCATTCACCGCTTCGTTGGATGTAAAATTCAGCTGGTGGTGACCAGAACTCAGGCGAATAATGATGGCGAAATAGAAAAATTAAATATTTTCTGGGATGGGGAAGGATTGCGCCGCGTCGGCTGGACGCCGCTGGGAATTGGAATCCTTGGAATAACTGGCTTTGCGGGTTGTCGGTGAATTACGCGATTTGAAAGAAAATGTTGGAAAAGCAGAAGAATGCAAAAGTCGATGAAACTGGGCTTTCTCGCTTGAGTTGCTGAGAATTGCAAGAGATAGGTTATCCACACATGTTTCTCTCGAAGTCAATGGAGTTTCCAATGTAAATATGTGCATTTTTGAATTGGTCGCTGGTGACGCTCCCTGCTGCAGCAAGGACATCAAATCAAACGTGATGCTAGCACAATATTTGGAATGACATCAGCCCAGCGACACTGCACGGCTTCATCCCATGGGCACCCTCCGTCGCCGTTGCACTTTATTCAACGTTGGTGCAAATGAACAATGTCAATTCAAGGGGAAGTGAACAAAGGAGATCCTTTTCACGAGTTTGCGACAAAGGGGTCCTCAAAGGCGAAAGGGTTTCTTCTGCAAATGTTCGAATGACAAAGGGCGGCCCCGCCGTGCAACCTGCACCCGGCGCCGGGCCGAGGGCGCACTAGTGACGAACCCAATGTATGGCGGGCGCTCAGAGGACCGTCTTTTCTCACGAAATCCTGGAAAGGACCCCCTTTTTGTCATTTGTCCTATTTACAATATAATATTGTATCTCAAACGCAGTCAGACCACTAATGACAACAAGGCCCATTTTCACACACATCTGCCAGTGACTCACGACATTTAGGCTGTCCCACGTCCGGAATGCTCTTGATCTTGCTGTAAAACTGTAAAAAAGCACTCTGCCGTTAACGAGTGTGGGCAATACCATGCCCATGCGTTGTCTAAACAGCAGACTTCAGGCAATGCTGGCACTGGCGTGTGAACTGCACCGCTTATCTGCCTTACACCTGCCTTAATTTTTGGTGCCAGCTTCAGCTTTGAAAGATGGTGTAACGTGGCCAATTCGTCAAATCAGATCTTCAAACTGCCGATTGGCTTGCTCTCAGACAAGGAGACTTACAGGACAATCATGCCTTTGCCATCCCCTTTCCAATTCGTGATCAATGCACGTGCAAAGACCATGTTTCATCAAACTTTGCATTAGGCCACAGTGGCAAACATCCGCCTCATGCAACATCGTCCGGCCACTCGCATACAAAACCACTTGATCCAACACCTGAAGCAGCCTGAAGGTTGAGTGAGCGCACTCTCCACTCCAGCGCTGTAGGAAGAGGGATCTAAACGATATTCCACCGTCCTCTATGTCATTAAATGCAATCCATAACCTGCCGATTCTGACCCTCCATTAGCGCCATGAACAAATTCGAGGCAAACACAGAACATCGCCGCCCAAAGCAATGCGTCTTCTGTTTCAGGAGCAAACAAGAACCCCAAGATCAACCCGAACAAAACATACTGCCTCCAAAAAACAACGCGCCAATCAGAATGGGCCAAGTGTTTCTCAACTTGCCCGCCGACTTCAGTGAACAACTGGAGTCCATCAAGTGAATCAAAACGGGACCGGTTGTCTCATAACTAACCCATTCATTTACATTCACCACATGTTTCAGTTGCGGCGGACGGTAAACCCCCATCTCCCTGAAAATCTTGCCATTATCATCCTCTCTTGAAAACCTCAAAAATATGGCAAGCACAGTAAAACTCTGCCTTGCGCACCATTGCTAAGTGTGGTTGCAGCTCCATGTGCGGGAGTCTGCCCTTCAGTTTCACTCAGCTCATACACCATTCTCCAAACTATTCCTGATCTTCTCCTGTGCATCTATCATATCTTTCTCAGGACCAAACGGATAATCGCTTCAAACTCATGCTGGACAGGCACCTATTCCTATCTTAGTACCAACCAAGTTCAAGCCGTGTTGAATTTCAGATTTTAAGTTCCGTTCTCCAGATCAAACGACATGCTGCAAAGTTCGCTCACCGCTAAACTGGAGGACGCCGAACGATCACCCCGGCCTTGGATTGAGCCAACTCCATGCAATCGTTTGCTGGAAAAGTTCTCAGCATGCCCCACCTTTGAATTTCTGCCACTCCCTGTGGAGATCCCTGGGCGAAGCCCAGCCAAATTGCTTCCAAGCAGAGGCAGCTGATCCTATTCCCAAAACAGATTCGTACAACCAAACCATCGCGGTGCATGAGCGACGCCCAGCCCTCATGCTATATTCTGGGAGCACAGTGAGTTGCCGCAGCCACGGACAGTTCACTTGCAAGGCCCCGTTCGACTGTGAAGCGATTTGGACACCACTAAGGACACATTACCATCATGCAGCTTCTCAGGCTCCTCTATTTGGTCCAGGCTCGTTCAGTCCAATCTGTGCTGCCTCAGCAGAAGTTGCCACAGCCGTAGCAGCTGGCTCCAAGGGCAGCTCCCCCAGGGCATGCGCAGTGTCAAAGAAACTCGCAGGCGAGCCACCAATACCTGTCAGACAGAGAATAAAAGGTCAGAATGCAGGGTGCTGTCTTGAAACGCACCAGAGACAACGGGCTGCTGTACTACTTGTGGGCCTGTGTGCACGTGTGATCTAATGATGTGGGTTTGTGGTGTGCTGGCCAAGTGCCGTGAGGTCAGCACAGGCCGCCACACAGCTGACGCTGTCTGAACGGTCCGAACTCAGTAGAGGCACATGGCGTGACTGCTGGCTATATTTTCAAGTCGGTTTTAAAACGCATTCGCTCATTCATCCTGACACTCAATCATTGGAATGGCGCAGTAACTGTTGCAAATAAATGAAGGTGCCCGCATCCCTCCACAGACAAACAGGGATTCAATCTGCGCGCTCACATTGGGCCACGACTTCGTGAGGTTACAGTAATGACAATGCGCCCCCTCACCTGTGCAGGATGCAGCAGGCAGTGTCGCTGGCGCAGTTGCGTGCACGTCCTGAAGCCTCGCAAGCTCTGACAACATCTCAGCAAGTCTGGAGACGATCACATCAAATCCAGGTCGCTTGCGCCGATCCTGGTTCCAGCAGCTTGCGATGAGGGCGGCGTAGCCAGGGTGACAATATGCGGGAACCTTTGGCCTGTGTCCATCCCTTATAAATTCCACCAAGTCGCGACGCTGGGACTCCCCTGAGACCTCCCTGCCTGTCACCACCTCCCACAAAAGAACACCAAAAGAGTAGACATCCGATGCTTTGCTGGTTGCGCCGCCCTGCAGCACCTCGGGGGCCATGTGGAGCAGTGAAGTCAGCGGGAAGGCCTCCAGGTCTGGGTGACATATCCGATTCCCCTCCCAGTGACTGAGCATGGACAAACACACTTTAACAGTGATCTGACTTTTGGTGCAGAGGCTGACGCGCTTGTGCAGCAAGACATTGCTGCGCTGCAGGTTGCCATGGATGATGCCACAGGAGTGCAAGTATTTCATGGAAAGCGCCACCTGGTGGGCCACGGTCACGATGTGCAGCATCTTAGGATTCTTGAACTGGCCTGTGTGGCAGAACCACCCCCGGCGGATGGCGCTGCGTAGGTTGCCCAGACGGCAACGCTCCATGACTATGCAGGTCTTGATGAATCCCTTTTCTGTTGCTGAGCACCTGTCCAAAGATTCCAATCATTTATCCATGGGAAATGGAGGTTGTATTTTACATGGAATACTGTGGCAATGCGATGCCAACGTGGTGATATCCCGCATCCATATTGTTGACGGATAGGACATCACTGTATTGCTATGGCTGGCTGGTCGTTGATTGCAGCCAAAGGCTCCAAAACAAATGGCAGGCAGCTAACACTGCATCAAATGCAAGTAACTCTGATGCACCGACAAACAGTAAAAGGAACACATTGCAGGACTAGAGAACAGCTTCACTGGATTTGCAACCTGTGGTGAAAATCTGCTCAAGGTCTTTGCTGAATTCACTACAAATGCAGTTCTGGTGCGCCACACACAGCTGGACATCTGAGAACAGCGTACAACTGATGCAATACCAGGGTTGCATTATCACTGTTGTAAGGTCTAGCAGCCCTTCAGCAAACTCCCACGCGTGGAGATTGACAAGCACTGATGCAACAACCAGCGTTACTTTATTTGCGATACGATGACCTTGCTGCAGCACTGCTTGGCGCTGCATCAAAGCCACTTTGCACACAACACACTATGCGTATCTGGAATAAAGGTACCCTTTCATGCAACAGTCTGGCTGCACTCCCATTGTTGCAATGTCAAGAAAGCCTACAATGCTGCAAGGCAGCCCTACAGAAGCGCCTGTGCATAGGAATTGATACAGCATTGGCACACAATTTGGCGTTACTCAATACTGATATATCAGCATGCACATACATGTGGACTTGCAGCAGTGCTGCTCGGCATTTCATCGGTGGGAATGCATCCACCACTGTTGCATCGATGTCTACTCCATCCCAGCTTCAGGAAGCGCACCTGTCATCTGCCTTCCCACTACCGAAGCTGAAATTGGCTCCCCAAATACTTCCCTCTGTGTCCACGTTTCTAGCTGCAGGGAAGCCGTCCACAACCCTCCCCACGGTATACACTTGCACCAAATTTGGATGCTCTAACCGCTTCGCGGCATGCACACCCCACAAATCGTCCCTGGATGTGTCGGCACAGGACACAATCTTTGCCACGGCATCTTTACCATGGTAGCGGGCCTTGTAGACGGTGCTGCCTTGCCCCTGACCCAGAACACGTCTGAGGGCCACTGGCGACCGAGTGGTGCCATTTGCCCTCTTCTTCTGCTTCGCAATGGAAGGCCCCATGCATTGGGAGCTGTCCTGTGGCCAGCATGACATCATAATGTTGACTTAAAACACCGTGCTGGCTCTCTGCTGCAAACTACTCGAGCAAAACTCCACAGAAAGGGACAGGAAAGATTCTGACACATAGCTTGATGACAGCGAAATAGATGAACTGAATGCGTTTGTGTGCCCACCATGGGTACGATAATTGCACAATGTCCTCCATTTCCAAGGACCTGGCTTTCTAGTCTCGCCAAGCACATGAGTCGCTACAAGCTTGCCCCGTTGCCCCCAAATTGGGTTAACTTTTAAAGAAGCCTGTTGCCTTTAAGTAACAATTGCTGAAAACGCAAGTTACGGGTATAATGCGGCATGGCTACATGACACAGAAACATGCTTATCTCCACAATGCTACAGAAGCACAACAAAATGATGCAAACATGTCAAGCAAAGTGCTCACCTGATCGTGCTGGTGAAGCGCAATTCCGCACAGCAACAGGATCGCAACCGTAGTCGATAGGCACAGCTGCAGAAGAAACAAAACCAGAAGTAAGCGGAACACGGTGAGGCGTGGGCTGGCGAAGCCTTTTCTGCTGCACACAATTTATAGTCTTTTATCTTTTTAATCTTTTCCAAAGTTTTGAGTATCATATGCGAGCAGAGCGTCGGAACACAGAAAGCAAAAAATGGCCAAACTCCCTTCGCATCCGGATTTAAAGGTCATGAACACCAGGACTTCCAGGTTCAGCGTTTTGATGTTGTAGGTTTTTCGATGTTCGGATACGTTCCAAAGATTCTGCATGAAAAATGGGCAACGAACGCAAGAACTGATTGTGTGCCAAGCACAGCAGTGCATGAAAATACACATGAAGAGTTTGACCCCAACAGGTGCTGGAGGCTCTCACGCTGGTGGGACATGACTACAAAGCGCTGTTGAGTCAACACAATTTGGGTCCTTTTAGCACGATGCGAACACTATTCGAGACTGTGAAATGAGCGATATATTCCAGTGATCACACGTGACTTTGTGAGGAACAACATCTACAAACAATGTAGCGGCACTTACGAAAGTTTTCGTATCGGAGTTGCTGTCACTGCCGGTGTAGCTGCACAATGGCACGAGGGCGCAAAGGGCCCACCCAACCACGCATCGTGGGGACAACTTGCTCTGAGTTGAGCCCTCCCTAGCTCGTTGTGACTGGCTCCCAGTGTCCCGGGCAGCCATGATCATCGAAAAGGATGCCCTGCACACTTTTCCCTGTCAGCAAGAGACATTGGAAGTCAGGCACTTTTCATTTTCAACTTTCAGCAATTTGTGAGCAGCATCAACGCATGCAAAATGGCCAAAATGGAAAGGTGCAGATCACGCATGTGTTTGGCACATGCACACTGTTCGCCAACGGACAGAATATATGTTGATACAAATTGGGCTTTGGCACATATCGTGCAGCTGTAAATATCAAGGCAGAAAAGAGTAAATACTACCAGATCCGTTCGCTAAAACTCAGCGAATTGCTTTCGTTTGGTGCACACTCTGGCATGCTTGAAAAAGCGATCCAAGACGCACCCAACTGCCACCCTCAGGCTGCAACTCGAAATCCTAAAAGCCGCAACCTCAAGTCCTACACCGTTGCCATTTGGCCACCACCGCATTTCGCCGCGTCAGACAGCACGTCACGTGCCACAGGGTCAAAACTCACAGCGCGACGCGTCACACCGTTATGCGTCACAGTGCGACGCGTCACAGCGTTACTTGCAATACAGTAGGGGTCCCTACATAGCGCCCCCCCAATAGCGCCCCCTTTTTGGCTTGTCACCATTTCTGTAGTACTTTATGCAGCTTCGCTGCGCAGTGGGACCTCAAACTACTATTGTGGACACCCATGAGAGGTGTCCAGAGGATGGACGCCGCGGCGGCCGACTGTTTCCACGAACTTGGCATTCCGCGGATGGCACGTCTGGTCCTGGGCCGTTGGCCGGCGTTGACCATGGAAAGGGCACGCGCGGCACTGCACAGGATCGTCTTAACCAGCGTGTGCGGGTGGTGCAAGGTGCGCAAGGTGGTGTTTTGCGGCATCACGTGACGGTGGGGGCGTGGCCGGCGGGCCACAATTTGCTTGGATGGTGGCCGCTGCGCCTCAACTGTTGCGTTCACACGGGGGGAATGCTGGATAACGCATGGGAACTCCATCCATATACCCCCCCCCCCAAGTTACGGATATTTGCGGAAGTGCTCAACGCGGGGGCCTGTTATTCCCCGTTCTCTGTGGTATGATGGGCCCCTGCCTGGTTGGGTGCAATCCACATTCATAATGCGGGCAATGCCGTGCAAGTCCACGTGATGAGTTGTGACAAGAACTGTGTAACGTCAATGCAAGCCCCAAACACGTTGTTCCACTACTGCAACACGATGGCACATGGTACACGCGTGTGATGAGTTAATTTCGCACCTCAACAGGCCGTAACACGGCTAATGGGTCTATTTGGCGTCTTCTTATGATGGGGAGTGTTATTTTATGACTAAAACTACAATTAAATGCATTAAACAAATAATTCTTTTAGCGCCCCCGGCCCCCAATAGCGCCCCCTTTTTGGCCATGTCACGGGGGGCCGCTATGTAGGGACCCCTACTGTACAGCACACCACACAGCGTCACATCATCACGCGGGTCGCCTCACACATTTCGGCGCGAGAGTCGCGGGGGATCCATGGACTCACGCAAGCGAAGGCCCATTGACTGGCGACACGGACGACGGCACGGCACCCGCGCATGTGTTTTTGAGGGCGGTGAAAGGCCTTGCACGTGGTCAACGTGGTTTATCAATGTGGTCAACACTCTCCTGACAAAGGCCCGCGTGGTTGCAGGCGGCCGGTCCACGTGATGGGACACCCGGGCCGCGGGTGCTGGTGCGGGGTGGGCTGGGCTAGGCGCCGGGCCGATCGGTCGGCGATCAGCCCTGCTGCAGGTCCCAAGGGCTGGCGAGTCGTGCATGGCGGTTGATGATTCCCGGCTCCGAGCACGAAGGGACCGGGGATGTTGCGTGCGCGGAGATATCTCCAATCGATTGGCGACGAGCGGCGGCGCGGGGCGTCTGGGCATCAAAAGGGAGGCCCGGCGGAGGCGCTGCGGGGAGGGCAGAAATGCAGATGTGTTTCCTGCTTTGAAGAAGAAAGGAATGGAAGACGGCGGGGACGGCGGGAGGTTTCACCGTTGGGAGAGGGGGAAGGGCGTCGTGCAAAATGGCCACGGCCGCCACACTGAGCGTTAAAATGGGTGGTGCCTGATGGCGCTCCCGGAGGAAGGCAGAGGGGGAAAGGAAGGGTCCGGCGAGCGGGGGCGTGAACGCGGAGCCATCGATGTTGTGACCGAGGAGGCCTGGAACGCGGATTCTAAAATTTGGCATCTTTCCTTCGAGGGAACACAGCCCGCCCCGCACCGGGAAGCGAGCCCGTTAGGCTCCGTCGCGCGACGAGCGTCCGCGATGGAAGGGATCACGGCGGAGTTCGTCGCTGGATTGACGCGGGGCTGTCAAGCTGCCGCCTCCCTGGCATCGCACGGGAGACAGCGTCGGACGCGGCGAGCGGACTTCCGCGGCCCTCCATCGACTTGGCCGCGGTGGGGATGTCCCGCCGCTCCCCAGCGCGCCACAATCAACTCCACGCGATCCACGCGCCACCCCGATCGATCATTCCCTTCCGCGGCGCAAGAGAGTCGCGGGTGGCAAGCGAATCGCGCACCGCGCGTCTGGCTACCTCCGGTTCCTGCGCCGATCGCCAGCCGCGCACGCCCTGTCCCGCCTTCGACCCTCCGCAGACTCGAATCCCTTCCTCCCGCGAACACCTTTCACCGGCCCAAGCCCCCGTCCCCTCGCGGCCAGCCAGCCGCCCCCGGACGCAAAACGTCCCCCGTCCCTCCCCAGCAGCGCACTGGGGCGGTCGGGCCGATCCGCGGGGCTTTAGTGGGCCGAATGGCGGCTGCTTGGGGCGGTCAGCGGGTTTAGCACAGCGCGGGCCGTACCAGAATGAGGCGGAGACTGACCGAAGCTGGCGCCGGCAGCCCAACCGAATGACCTGTCCAGGAACTACGAGCCACCGCAAGTGTGGACCACTCTTGCCCGTCATTCCTCGTGCCCGTCCGCCACCGCTCGCAAGGGGATCTGACGGCTCCCAAGTTTTCTGGCGCTGACATGCGGCCGGGGACATGAGGCGGATCCATCGAATCCATGGAATCCATGAAAGATTTGGGACTCTGATTTCGGTGATGAAATGAAGGCTCCGCGTAATAAAGCGGGGGATTTGATGTGTCGTCCATGACGTGAGGACGACGCGTGCTGGGAGGCCGTGACCTCAGGTCACGGTCACCCTTTCACAAAAAGTGGTACAAGCAAAGTGCTGTAAAGCATTGAGCATTGTTAGGGGCGCAATTGAAATGATAATTGCTCAATGCTAATCGCAGGGAGCAGTGACCGCCAGGGCCATCCAACGGCGCCGTCCTCGTTTGCCCCCATCGGGGTCACTTTGCGGGGAGTCGTACCCACTCTACTGGCTTGCCCACCCTTTCTGTCGAAATTACCAATTCAGCTAATCTTATCTATTTGCAAGCTATTCATGAACAGATTAATGTACAAATTTGTTTTTTTTACTGTTTTCTTTACGTTCTTTTTACTCGTGAAGAGAATGCGACTTTCTGCAACCAGACTACGATTGCGGGCGTGCTGCTCAGCAAGTTGGGGTGATCTGTCCGCAATAGGGTTGCATTGGAGCCACTTTGATTTGCTTGGGCGGATGTCAAGATAATCCCACCCATTTGCTGGCACGTCTGCGCAGATGATCTTTGCTGCATCTGCTGAGGCAAATGGATAGTGGCACGGGTGGACGTTGGCTGCCTCACTGTCAGGCGTTACCTGTGTGCAGTGCGCCCTGATGGTATGGGCGCAAGAGCGACAGGTTGTGGGGGTGGCTATTGTGAGCCAACCAGGGATGGGAGAGGTCCAATTGCATGGTTTGTCCCAATACCCCAGAGGCGACCACATTGCACTGCAGGGCACCATTGTGCCGGCGGCGCAACCACAATTTCTCAACTGGACTGGTGGGTGGATGTGCTGGCTTCAACTAGCACAAGGTTGTCGTGCGGTGATTGTCTAGATCCCACACGCATGGCACGCGCTTTCCTGAGCCCCCTGCGACATTTGTATTTTCGCCTTTGTGCAACAGCGCAGTGCGATCCGTCACCCCTTCATGACTAAGGGCAGACAGCGGCATTCAGCGGTGCATGGCATCGGAAAACATCGAGATGGAGCGCACGTCATCTCGCTACTTTGTTGACGGTGCAGAGATCTTTGTTCGCAATCGAAGTGCACAGCGCCCATTGGCACCATGCCGGCGCAAGACCCGTTCCTTGAAATTGGACTTTTAATGGAGCATCATCTCCAACCACATTACCCAAGAGCGCCCTTCCTGTCAGAGCTGGTACAGCGACTGGCGGTCAACTACCAAATCTTGGGCAAACCCCTCCGAAAAGGCGAAAGCCCTAGAAAGGGTTTGAATATACCGAACTGCATTGTTTCTTACAACTGGACCTGCGCAACTATCTACTTGTGCCTGCCATGACGTATTCTGCCGCTCCCCGCAGCCTTGCAACTGCATCTGACTCTTGACACCATATCTGATGCCAGTTTCGAGAGAGGTTCCAGCTGCATCACTTGTCTTCTTTGCCCCCTATTTCAGCCTCGTTGCGTGAACTGCACAGCACACAGAACGACCGCTGTTTGTATGGAGATGTATGTTAGGGTGCACAAAGCATGCGCCACATTGGAGGAAAACCCTCCAGCAAGATATGTTGGCCCCTTGTACTCTTTGCACCTCTATGGGAGCCAACAATGTGCAACCTCCATGACTGACCATCATATTTGCAAAACATTCATACGAATTATGGATCGGCATCTGTTACACACAAACCTTGAATACCATCCAGAATTCAAGACAACTCCAGGCATATCTACAAAGTTGCCTGAAAGTAGCCAAGGGAAATGAGCTTGGTGTGCGAAACACTGTCGGCACATGAGCCTGCAACCCGTTCTGGGAAGAAGTGCAACAGGGCTCAGCATTTCACAGCACTTGCGCGCCAGATTTCTGCAAGGGTGTTCTGCGGTGTTGAGTTTTGTTAAAACTGAAATTTCGACGTTCAGGAACGAGCAGTAGTGACTGCAGGTTTGGGTCAACCTCCAGCTGCATGCAGCCACCTGTTCAATGCACTGGAAAAAGTATCGATGCTGTCGGCATCTTGCATCCATAATCGAAAACCTGGTGCAAGGGTATTGCTTTGTCACATGTGGCAAATAGAACCAATTGTTTTGTTCGGTATGAATTTATTGTCAGCTAATTCAACCCAATTATATCAAAAATCAACCCGAAATGTTTAAAATGCATCCAAGAATATGGAAAAACACCTTTTCAAGCTCTGAACCTCGCCCTCCTGCCACAGGAGGCCAAGCGGACGCCCGCTCTTGCAAGCATCCACCGCCTGAGCAGTGGCTTTCAAGATCTGCAAAGCACCAAAAATGGTCCATGGTTTCAAAGAAACGGCAACGTTGTCCATCAAGTTTTGCTAACACGAACACGGAGATGCCATGCTAACTCTGGAAGCTTCAAGAAGATACCGCCAGAAGGTCCGCTGTTTGCGAATTTCACGTCTGCGAAATTGCCAGAGCGTTGCATGCAGTGCCACCGTGTGCAAAGCTTCACCGATAATGGTTGCTCCATACAAAAGCCTTCCTTTTGACCAATATTCGCAAAGCCTCAACAAAGCCGTTCTGGCACCGCCAGGTGTTGCCAGGGCGATGTCTGGCAAAGCTCTTGTGAGCTGAATCCAAAAAAATATGTCGATGACAGTCGGTACACACCCGAAAAGACGCCAAGCGAGTTGTTTGTGTGCACTTGGTTGCACAATTCAGTATTCTAAAGCACTAAGGCCTGTGCTAATTTCCCAAAGAGCAGTTGGACAGTCTAGACAGTTCTTCAACAGTCCTGGCCCCCTCCCCCCCTTTCGATTGGTCAGTCTACGCACCTCCTCGTGGACGGCATCTATTGACTTCGTTGCGTCTAGTTCAGTCCAGCCTTCCGTTTTGCTTAACCGCATATACCAGTCAGCAACCTGCAAACAGGTCATGGGCAAGTTGTGAAACAAATGGGAACGTTGCAGGAACAATTCCGTGATGAAAAAGAATGCACCTTTTGGAAGTTTATGGTCAGCGTAGTTTGGAACATCTGCAGGCGCACCAGTGTTAAGCATGTGGATGCAAGAGCCGGGGCCAAAGTTAGCCACCAACTGATACATGTAGTAACAACACAGATTTAAGTAAATCCATTTACACCTGTATAAAAGTATTTACACACTAAAAGCCTTTACACTTCATGAAAATGTCAATGCAACAACACTTTCCCACCTCCACAGCATGGTCTGGCACAATATGATCAAATTGTGTTCTGTGCTTGATACACGACAGCTGTATAGTCAACCCACTATTTGGAATGTCCTTCTGAAGCTTATTTACCTCTTGAGTGCTTGCTAGACTGTAGATTGGCACAAGATCGACGCCCAATCCCAAAGCACAAACACAGCTACTTGACCAGAAAGAAAAGACTTATGCCATGGACGCAACTTGCAGGCAGCTGCTTGCAAGTTTTTTAAACCTGTACAAGATACATAACAGGACAAAACAAAGGATGCCACATTTCTCATATCCAACCACTGCTTGACAACACTGATGTCAACATTGAAGTAACAACCAGAAAGCAGCTGTTCTCACCTTCTTCTGGAATTCGAGCACCTCATACCTCTCATTCCCAAAGCCCCCCCTCCCTGCCGCCACATCTGCAGGAGCCTTCAGGAAGAAGACGACATCGGGCGCTGGCAGCAAGCCATGTTCCACGCTCTTGCACCAGGCCAGGTCCAGCCCAGGGGAGCCCTTTGCCAATGTAAAGGCTGCGCCAGAATAGGCATAACGGTCACACACCAGCGTTGTGCCGCCCTGCAACTTCACGATCAACTCTTGCCTGAGCAATTGACGCCCCAGACAGATTAGCCACCCCAAGTAATAACACAAGCATTGCCAGCAGCCAAACTTTGCAAGCTGTGGATACTTTTCATTCCAAAGATTTCACCACAGGGAAATTTGAAGTGGCCCAACAGCACCATTGTGTTGGACTCCCTTGTGCCGATCAGCCTCTAACTGAAACAAAGCCTGTCCAGAGTTTCTGTCAGCTTTTGTCACGTTGTCAGGATACCGCTTCTCCTAACATTCTGTTGGGTGTCTGCCATTCACACAAAAGAACAGGCCAGATGTTCAAAGGGAAAAAAGCAGCATCACCAGAATGCTATGCAGTTGGGATCCTCTTGGTTAACAATTAGGCATCGAATCGAGGAGTGCAGAAGTGAGTCAACAGTGTCTGTATGTTCCACAGCACGACAAATCACAATGCTGTGGGATCTTGCCAACAAGGTGGGATCTGCTGTGGGCTCTTGGGACATAGGAGCAACCCTAAACATGATTGTGTTTTACTGTGATCCTGTCATGATGAAATGGACACAAACTCATTTTTGTTGGGTTGCTCCCTTCTCAAGCGTTCAGAAACCTTTGCATTCTCATGTTGTGGAAGTTGGTGCACATTGTTTCATGTTTCAGGTATCATGCATAACTCACCTCTTGCTCACCAGGTGGTCCATCTTGTCACTTTCCATCCATCAGAGGGTTTTACCTCACCATTCATAGCATGGGAGTGTGCACATGCTGTTGTTTTTTCCCAATGTGGCATATGATTCACCTCTCCCACTTTCTTTTCCCTCTATTTTGCAGCCTCTCTTCATGATCTTTTCCTTTTCAGCGCTTCCCTTGGATCATATTGACCCCATTAAATGTTGGACACTCCAGCTTGTGGACAGATTTGGAGAATTACGACCAGAGGGCAGAGACACAATGCCCATCAGCAGTTTTGGCCCTCAGGGTCATCTGGTAAACAAAAACTGCCCATCTCTTCTGCAGTGGTAGACCATCCCGGCTCCCAAGAGTGTAGAGTGTTTCATTGCTGTCCTTTGCTGCTCCTATGCGTATTCATATGTTCTCACTCATCCTGCTATTATTTCTTCTACTTGTTTGCTATGTACTTCTTTGTATTCATTCCCTTTTGTATTCAGATGTCAAGGATCACTCGCCTCTTCTCCAGGCGGTTTGCCGCAAACAGCAGGTGGATCACATCGTCCTCAGAGTTCTGCGCACCCGCCAAGTACGAATCGATGAGCTGCCCCACACCAGTGCTTCGGTCAGGGAAGCTGCACCACTCTGCGAGCACCTGCAGGGCGGCGATTGCGATCGTCACAACGATCGCCACAAGCAGATGTACAAGGATTGCTATTGCCCTGGAAAGGCAACACAATGCTCTCCTTGACAGCAGTGATGGGCCTTACAAGCTTTACCACATTTTGTTTTCCTGTTTGTCCTTATTTTCATCGTCCAAAAGTTATGTACCAAAATGTTTGTCTCCACTGGTAGAGCCAATTCTCCACGTATGAGGGTCTCTCCTGTTCTTATGTTTTGCAGGTGTGGGTGGACAACAGTGGACCATGCAGAGAATGGATTTGTGCATTGTGGCCTGGTTGGAGTTCTTCCAGCTTGATACGGATACTGAAGTCATAGCATTTCTAGAGCTAACACCCCATGTACCCGATTACACATGCTCTTTTGGCAACACACTCCACCTGTTCATGGATGGACAAGAATGTCATGGAGTAGGCACCCTGAGTGGCCGCCGACCATGGAAACCACTCAACTTTGGCAGGTGATCCACAAACCTGCGCATCCAATGGGGTATGCATTAAGAGAAATGGGAGAACAAGGCTTGAACATCAGCATTTGGCAGAGACAGGGTCTCATTGACATTTTCTGCCTCAACAGCAGCAGATCGCCCATGTGCCTGGCATGTTTGTCCATCTGTGAACAGGTGAAGTACGGAGTTGTTGTTGCCATTATTAATCAGCGTACAGTGAATACCAGTGCGGGATAAGGTTCTGTGCACATGGATCTTTAAGTTGGTCGACAATCCGAGAACCCATTTCCTGAATGTTTCCTTTCTTACAGCAATGAGCGTTTCAGCAGGAAATCCCCGCGAAGGTCGCAGCAGACAACCGCATCGACGCCGTGTACGTAGATCTAGCGGCAACAGATCAAGGCCCGGTGGCCAAGACATGCACCTCCAAAAATCTCGTCGTCGAGATACGGCGACTGGTTCTTGCGCAATTGCGCCATCCCGATCCCCGATTCCCGCCCCACGTCCATTGTCGCCAATAGGGTTCTCAATTCCCTCAACTGCGCGATCGAGCTATCCCCCTTCGCCCAATCCTCCTTCGCCAATGCTCACTGCACGATTCTAGCCCGACTGCGGGGCCTGGCGCGGAATGAGGACTTGCGGCGAATTCAGGACCTGCTACGAAGTTCCTCACCCCATTTTCCCGCAGAGCGGCGACGAGCTTTTTCGATTGGGTGGTCTTGCCGCACCGGTCGCATCCCTCGAACACGATGAACGCCCCGCGGCCTGCCGGCCCCGCCCCGGCCATCAGCGCGCCACACCGCCTTCCGCGGGGCTCGGCGACGAGTCGCCGAGGGCCAAAGGACGGGATCAGCCGGGCCACGCGGCCGGCGTCATGTTGGGAGAGGCGGGAGGCGCGCCACGCCGCGCGAGCAGGGGCGGCCATTCGCCATGGGCTCAAGCCAACACAGGTCCCGAGTTTCTGGACTAACCCATTTTTCCTTTGATCAAAGGCAAGGAAAATGTCTCAGTACATGTCGATTCATATCGATCCAGACCGCTGCATATCGATGCATATCGGGTAGTGTCAGTTTTACATCAGCTTAAGGCTGCTAGTAAATCAACGCAATGTCAGTTTGAATTTTAAAATATCTTCCTCGTAACGCTGCGTCCTGGCCATAGTTCCTTTGTGTTGGATATTCATTGTGACAATGGGTTGTTCAATTACGCCAAAACTATTACGCTCTTGTCTTTAGTGGGTCGGGATACCAGTACTTTAGAGTTTCCTTAGAAAAACCACTGGCAGAACCATTTGCCATAGGCAATCCTTGATCTCAAGGTAAGGTGGACCAGTTTCGACACTCTCCATAGAGCTACACCAACACCCTTCAACTAGAATCCTCCCATAGGTATTTGTATTATTTTTGCCATATTTGGCTGTCACCACTATGTCGCGGCCCCATCGGCGGCCGTTGGTTTCCGAAGGCGTTGGGGTCGCCCTACCCTGTAGCATGGTTGTTGGCGGTCAGCCAACCTCTCCACCTTGGACGGTTGGCATAGCCGGGGCAGTCGATTCAATAGTCGCGTGGTGCGCCCAATGCTCGATGGGGATCGATCCCCAGAGCCTACTATTGGCGAGAGGTGGCAGCGCAGCGATGTGGTGGTTTGCTGGCTCGCGGGTGGCTAGAGAATGGGCCAAAGGTGTTATGTGGATTCACAACATGCACAGGCACTTATCGCATGTGCGATGCCTGATCGTGGGTCCATCACGATCACACAAAAACAAGACAATTCAAGTGCATATCCAGGCACATCATCATTGCCTCTTGTTCACCGACAACTGACCCGTTTCCCATTGACTTAAGTACCAGCCCCCTCTGTCTAAAGCCCTAAGTACTACAACTTCACAAGGCCATAACTTTCAACGGATTTGGGCATTTGAAAAGCCTAAGGACATCAAGAGCTCCCAACACCAAAGAATCAATTTAAAGTAATGACTACTCACCACAGTAGAAAATGCCAATAACGCCTAACCCCAAACAACCATGTTGCAACTAGGTCTCACGGCTTGGACTGTAACAAAATTAATATTTGATATATTAATTAATATTATGTTCTCAGATATTGCTGGTCGTTTTTGTAAAGGCAACTTAATTTGGTGTATTTTTGGCACTAACCATCACAAAAGTGTGATTTGGGATGCAATGGCATGCTGCGAATTCTACAATTGGAAACATGAGGGGTATGGCAGTGTGGGGCCCCCATTGTGAAATGAATATTGGATTCCAATACACCAAGGCAAATAAATCCTAGGCTCATAGGGCCAAATCCTGAAGGGATGCCAACTTTCCAATTTGTCGGAAGGCCTTCATTTGTGATTTCCCCATAGGCTAGTGAGTCAGTGTTGCGGGGCTCTTTTAATGGCCTCCGCTGGTCCCTTTTTGTCGCGCGTGTCCCCACTTCATCCGCCTGCACCCGGTTGGGCCGATGGCCCCCTCCGCCGAACCCGGCGGGCGTAATCGGGGTGCTCGCTCGTTTGTTGCGCGGTGGGCCCTCTTGCGCTCTGGGATCGGGTGGTCCTGCCATTCGAAGACGGCGGGTTGCAAGGCAACTTGCTGCCCGGGCCGCGAGGCCCGTGCGGAGCGCGGCAGTGAGCCAAACGGGTAACAGAGCGGGGAGCAACGCACCCCCGCGTACGTACTGGTGGTCGGCCACATTCCGGCCTGACCACCCATCACACAGACACCACACAATGTACATCAGCGTGTCACAGCTGTATCGCCCGGCATACCCCTATATCGGACCCACTATCGATACATCGCAGCCCAGTCTACCCCCATGGGCTGTCCCTTAAGTACAGGGACTTCCCGAGGCCACCAACTACTCCACAACTGGGGGATTTAGACAAGTAAAGAGCCTACGAGTATCTAGAGATCATAAAGAATCCAAATAATAGGTCCAATCCCATAGATAACTAGCCAACCAAGACTAATGGTCATAAATCTCTCGACCCCCATGTGTTTCCATAACAATACTTCCCCCTGGGGGGAGTTTTCCCCCTCGAAAACAAAACCGAAATCAATGTCCTCTATCGGCTGCCCAATGGTTGACCTAACTGTGAAGCTAGTGTCACCTCAGGCATACTCCACTAACCATCTGTCTAGTCCCTCTGCGAAATTTCGGGATATGTTCCAGTGTACAAGAAAATCAACCGACCTCCTTGCTATCGGGACCTCTTCAGTATCACTGCAACAGTTGCTCATCTCAAAATTCTCCAAGTCAGGTCTCTCCCATCACTATGTCGGATGTACACTCGTGTTCATCTTGAAAGCAGAAAAGATGAAATAATACTATGTCCTATATCCGAATACATCAAGTCAGCACGAGTGCTATCTACCTGTACACTAAGTGTGTTGCCAGTCGACCAGGAGCATCCGACTATCCACTACCTGACAAGTCTGATATAAAAATAGAAACATATGAGCCAGCTGTCCATCCGGGGATCGGTATACATATACTGATAATCCTCTCTGTCCTAATCCCTCAGATGAATCTCTCCAAAGTATTTTTCCCTCTTTGAAACTGCAGTGTACCTTAGTTATTCCATCTCTAAATCCACCATGACAAGGTATCCCAATAAAAGATTTCTCGACTCCTCACTGCACTGATCAATTATAGTCCTCTATATCTCAGCCCAATCATCAATCAGTGAAACATTGGCCTGGCCTCAACTTCCGGTGTCCCATACCACTATCAGTCTTACCAGCACCAAGCCTCCTGTCTCCAGGACTGAATAAAACTCAACTCCACTCAGATCTAAAGATAATGATATACAGATCATGCACCACTGTACTGAGTCAACAAAATCCCAACACCATGGAAATAAAATGAATAACCGCAACTCCTCTCTCAAAAGAATAAAGGTGTCTGTAGCTCATCTTTTTGTTTTTACCTCTCTCCCGGATCCAAAGCTCATAAAAGAATGACAGATAAAATCAACAAATTTTGTCCACTTCCTTCCCGTCTGTGCCCTCAGCCGGGATAGTCTCACCATAGGATGTTATGAAAACGATCCAGTATCCTCAAAAATTTCTCAATCAGACATTTGGCGCCATTGTCCGACTGTCTTCCGGTCTGGGCCCAGCCAAATGTGGTCATGATTGTTAACATGGGAGCAAATATGAGCCTCCTCATGTCACAACCATCAATCTCAATATCAGCCACACAGCCAAAATGTCCGACCGTCATCAAAGCAATCTCCTCTAATCCAACTCAATATGCCTCAATTTCAATACGGGTACAATCTCAACCGCTGCCTGCAATTGAGAAAGGACTCCTCGAGTGTGATCAAGTGGCCTCGACCTCAATACCCGACCACAGCACAGAGTACTACTGATCTAATATGGGTCATCATCCTTGGATTCCAACACAATCGTCGATACAGCAAAATGTACTCTGGGCGCTCTCGGTCGACCTCCTATTATGGGCCCGGAGGGAATGCGAACAATGCACAGGGCGCCCCCATTTTTAATGACCGGGGGATGGGCACTTCCTTTTACGAGTACACTGCGACCGTCGATAACCTCTATATCCAAGAATGTATGTATGACCAATATCCACCAAATCCCTCATACACTCAAGTAATCATCAGCCCATAGTACACACCAAATATAGATCATCGGTGCTAGCTCTACCCGTCACTGCTAACCACCATGCAAGTGGACGGGTCTGCCATCCTCTATAACCATCCACCGATTTTGACCTTGTGTGTCTGTACCTGAAGATGAGGATGCTGAGACTGGAAGCTATCTCTGTCCTCTAGCTCCCTGCTACATCTAGCAATGTCCAGCTACTTCCCCCTGGGGTGCATCGACCGTCCTCGGCGATGTCTATGTGGCTCACTGCTAGCCTAGTACTCACATTCTCCAACAAGAGAATTGAGTGTACCAGTCCAATGCCCCCAATTGCACTTGGGGCCTGCAACTGTCCGCCACGAGAGATAAAATCGAGTGCAAACATAGATCAGGTTTCTACTGATAACCTGGT